AAAAAAAAAAATACTTGAGTTTCTCATATAAGAGAAACAAGTAGATACTTAACTCTTGTGTGATTGATTTATTTCATTATGGTGCATCCATATGGTGCCTCCCCTAAAGATGACTTCAGGGGCACATCTAGATATAAACCATAACATCATGTACTCATTGGCCATTTGTACTTCTTGGAAGTGTCTAATCATTTCACTTGCTCATTTTTTGATTGAGTCTTTTATTCTCCAAGTTATTGTTTTATTCAAAGTGGTTAAGAACAGTTTTCTGTATTACCTGAAAATAGTTACTTAAAAAAAAACAAGATTCACATATAAAACACTCGAAAAATTAGCTCCCCAAAATAAAAGATCCAATCAAAGAAATGTACAAGTGAAACAAGAGACACTTCACAGAAGAAGTACAAATGACAAGTGTATGATGTGGTTTATTTCCAGATATGCACTCATAGGTGGGGCTTTTGAGAAGTGAAGTGTATCCAATGAGTGAATTAGTCCATTTAAAAAATACTGACTGAGCCTTTACTGTTCCAGGCATCACACTCGGCTCTAGAAGTGGTATTGCTGGATCAATTCCACATATGTTTTGGCTGTCCTGTCTCTATACAGACATTGCACTAGCCATTCGAGGAGGATCACTGCCTAACGGTTTTATTCCTCACTGGCACACCTCAGTATAAAAATTCCTTAAGAACCTGAGTCTGAACATTTTTACATTAAGATGTTGCAGGTCTATCATTATTTAAGACTAATTTCTATGACAAACCTGGTGTATCATAATCTCCATATCTTCTTGGCTGCAAATGGGAAGTAAAACCAACTAGGAGGACTCCCGAAACCATAAAGCACTCTTCTCAGTCATTTCTTCTGATAACTGGTGTAGTCGCTATTCTTGGTTACTTCAGTATTGATGTAAAGGACTGTTCTGAGGCCAATTTTTCCACCTCAGGAGTCCAACTGTTCAATACTTAGGCGTCATCTTTGATTTCTCTGCCTCCTAGTATAAATCCCCATCACCTCTGCCTGCTTGTCTTAAAGAGTCAGCAAGATGAACTCCCTCCTTGCACTCTTGTCCTTTTCCAAGTAGCTTTTATACCATAGCCAGGACAATTAAAAACAATCACTGTCCCAATGCCTGATGGTTTTCTATTAAAATGTGCCAGTAGCACTTGGAATAAAGTGCAAACTCTTTACTATGCCCTGCTCACAAGGCTCTGCATAGAGCTGTCCCTAGTTCTGAGATCACCACTTTCAGCTGTACATGCGTGATTTGAATTTCCCATACCCACCTCAGGACCTTTGCACATACCTCTGCATGGGAAGCTCTTTCCCCAGCCATGTGAGGGCTTTCTCATCCTTAGGCCTGCTAAGCATTTCCTACTTAGAAATCTTCACTATCCCATCCATGGTAACCTTCCCCTCATTCCCACCCAAATAGCCCTCTCTACTATTACTCTCAAACCATCTCCAGAGCAGTTATTACAGTGTTAGATTCTTATTTGTATGCAGTGGCCAGGGATTTGTCCTGGTTTCTGTTGTATTTCTATTGCTTAAAACACTGACTGGCACATAACAGTCAAATTATTTTTTCTCAAGTGTTGGGGATAATCATAAATTGTTAGGAGCTCCATGTCTTTAGAAGAATGTGAAGAACTTTGAGTAGGTCAAGAAAAGGGAAACAATAACAATTATTTGTAACATAAAACCAATGAGGCAAGATTTTGAAAACAGCTCACAGGCAGAATTAATCACTATTTGGAGATATGAAATTAATTATTTTATTATATTCTTCATACGGAACTGGATTTCAATCATAGGCAGAGGCCTTTCTGAGATAATTTAGCCTTTTGACCACTGATTCCCAGGGCCTCTCAGTGGGAAGCTTATGGAATCCTTGCT